TGAGTGTTAAAAAAAAAGACAACATTTTGCAACATGCATCTCTTACTTTGTCTTGATTTTGCTTTTGCCCTTCATGCCACCAGCGGGTACGGTGGTGCCTCCCATATCTACAACCGCCCCTCCTGCTGGTTTGGCTTTGCCTTTTTTGTCAGCTCCTCCTGCACTTTTAGATGGCATTCCTGCAACGACAGGACTTTTCTTCTTGCTCCCTCCCCCACTCGGCTTTTTCTTTGCAGACGTGACCACGGTCACGGTGCCTCCAATTTCTGGTGAGATCTGCGTGGATGGGAGTTCGTCCTGGTTGAGTACTCGAGGCAAGTTCTTCTCCCCGCGGGCTTTCGCCCTCGCGATGGCTTCAGCCACAATACGATTTGCCTTCTCCTGCTTGCAGAGGATCTCCACCCGTCGCACAGAGGAAGAATCGCCAGGAGCCTTGGTGATGCGGATAGCCTGCGATACCGGGGTGGTCGTGCTGGAGGGGCCTGCTGTTGAGGAGTTGACGACCTTCACCACTGAGACAGCCCCACCGCCTGTAGCTGCTGAGCTCGTCTGTATTGGCAAAGAAATTATACTGTTGTTCCTGTCGCATCAAAAACACCAAACTACAAGGGGCATAATAAAATGATGTACCTGTGGCTGCAGAAGCATTTTGAGAGGCACTGCAACTCTCTGCCCCCCTTGGCCTTGAGAAATCTGCAATACCTGCGGGCTGCCAGTACCGCCTGCTCCTGAGACCAACTGGTACTGAAAAGTTACAAAAGTAAGGCACAAACGGCTTGTCAACTGTCACAATAAAATAAATAAATATTTGCACGTATTTAATGATTTTTCCCGTCTTTGAAGAACAATCTTACCTTAACTCCTCCTTGCTGGTTTGGCTGCTGTTGCACCTGCAGCTGGATTGTAAGAACCTTGGGCTGCCCTCCTGCCTGGCCTGCAGCCCGGGCCTGGGTCAAGGCTGCAAGCTGGCTTCCCTGGAGGACCAGCTTACCCCCTGGGAGCTGTCCTAGCACCAGTCGAGCCGGAGCTTGGACTTGTTGCTGACCTCCTTGGCTTGCTTGAACCTGCGTGACCTGGGGTTGGGCAACAACAGTTTGACCCATTGACGAAGCGGCGGCAGCCTGTGAGGGCTGCTGGAGAACCAGAGTGATTCGTTTTGCTTCACTCCCCTAGAGCCACAAACAGAATAAATTAATTCTCATTGCGATCATGAGCAAACAGCCCATATACACAGAAAGCAACCCAATTCTAGTCTCATTTGACAGTCTGACTGCAAGGACCACTTACTGGGGTTTGGGCCTGCATGGCCGGCTGGAGTTGCACTTGATTTTGCGCTTGGATTTGGATCTGAGCAGGCTGGCTCTGGGGCTGGACTTGCACTTGAGCTTGGACTTGTGGCATCTGTGTTTGAGTTGGAATCTGCACTTGGACCTGCTGGCCTTGCTGGGGCATGGAGGTGAGCAGCAACTGTTTAACTGGCCCGTTGGGGGACTGCAGCAGCCGCTGCACACCCGCAGCACCAACCTTTAATTGAGTTTGCCCTGTGGTCGTTTGGTTCAAGACGGCTCCTCCTTGTAGTATGGGCATGCCTGGTTTAAGCGGTGAGCCAGACACCAAGCGGATGACTTTGCTGCCTGTCTGGCTTGTGGCTCCTGGTACAGTCTGCAGCACCTGGGCTTGCCCCTGAGAACCTTTAAGGATGACAATCTTCCCTCCCGCCTGCTGTGTGATGGCAGATAGCTGCTGGGGAGTGAGTTGCTGAGCGATCTGTGCGAGCTGCTGGGCAGCGGTGGTGGTGGCTGGAGGACTGGAAACAGTTAGCGGGGAGTTAAGCAGGACAGTGCTACTGCTGACCACACTGGCATTGCTAGCAATGGGTACTGTGGCATGGGCTTGAGCTTGAGGTACGGCATCAACAGCAGCAGGAGCCTGGGCTACAGTGGAAACCGCAGATAAAGAAACAGTCTGAGCAGCCGCCACTGTTGCTGTCTGCTGTGCGGGAACTGGAATGGAGGCCTGTTCAGGTACGGTGGCGTCTGCGACAGGAACACAAAGGCCAGTGTTGACTGGAAGCTCAGGTGCGGGCGATGACTCAACTGGTGCGTCCACCTGACCTAAAGCCAGCTTAAGAGCCTCTTCCACTGGGTCTGATGAACCCTGAGAAAAGGAGTCATCCGGGAGGGCATCCAGGTTAAACAGGGGTGTGTCCTCAAAGAGGTCCATTATGGGATCTGCCATCTTGCCCCCTCCACGCAGGGAGATGGGCACAATGTTAGAGACGCTCCGAGATGAAAGCTAAATTGTACTCATCCGGTTTTTCAAAATGTCAAAGGAAACAGCTGGAGATCAGAAAGAAAACAGAAATTAACAACACAAATTCGGCATGATTTATCGATGCTGCATGATTCCAGACTATTGGTATTCAGTAATAATAAATAACAGAGGCTGAAAGGCCGTATCTCACTGAGCTGCAAAGGTTTGTGTGTGTGCATGTCGCGAAGGTTTTTTCTTGAGGATTCGGTCAGGGTCCCAAACGATTGCAAAGTTATTTTAATGGTCTCAATCATTTTTTTCTCTTTGCAAAGAACATTTGAACACGCTCAAAATTGTATGCCGATGAGAAAAACTGTTTCCATTCACTGTTTGGCAATGTCTGGTGGATGCCTTTGAAACTGGTAGCGACACTGAACGAACCCGAAACATCCCACTGCCTCCCTGCGCAAAAAAAAAAACACGTGCTATGTGTGCCTTGCAAACCTTCGCTGCTCAGTGAAATAGGGTCTTGATAAACGAGAAGTAATAGTTAGCCCTTGTTTTCAGCATGTTAGACTTCCAGATCTGCCAATACAACATATACACACATTTAATTCAGATGTATTCAATATACGAGAACCAATGACCATCTCACACTACCAGCATATTTTGTATACCATGGAATATTCATAAACGGTTGGGAAAATGGATGGATGGCCACTCTTTAAAAGTAAACGAGTGATCAGGAAAACCAGTGTTATTTTAATTGGGATTCTAATTAAATTATTTAAGTATTGCATAAACAGGAATAAACAAATAGGCCTAATAGATGTTAAGGGTGTAGTTCACTGTTCGAGTGATAAGTGGCTTCCCCCCCCTACAAAGCCAATATTTCTCATATGCTGCCAGGATATGGGCACAACTGTGATAATTAGCTGCTGTAGTTTTAATCATATAAAACTACAATGGCAAATATTTAATCATTGGGAAGAGTTGGCATTAAAGTAAGTGGAGGAGGCAGTGATGGAGAGGTAGGATGCTTTCCTCTGCTCACATTGCAGTCTGCCTCACAAAACCGTCGGTTAGCATTAGCATCTACCGTCAAGATGTGCCTATTGCCAAAGCGTGTATGCAAGCACAGCATATATTCACTCGTAATCACGCCGGGTTGTATGTTTGGGGCAGTTAACTGGCTTCTGGGTCCATTACAACCGACCATCAAGTCAAGCGGACTCCTTCAATCTCATCAACAAACCCGACCAAACCAAAGCAACGTGCCACAATAACCATTACCCGTCAACGTTCTGACACGGGTTAGGCCGCAATACTCTTTCAGTTGGTCTGCGTCCATTTTTCGGTAAAATACCCGAAAATAACCATCAAGTCCGCTGCCCGAAGGCTCCCGGTAATAATTCGGGGCGCTAAATTTACCTTTGCATCGACACACATGGCTTTCTCCGTCTCACAACACAGTACGATTACAGGAAACGGCTAGGGAAGAGCAGGAACTAACATTTTTGCTCGAGAGCCCGTACAAAGCCTGCCTCGCGGACGCTGACAAGCTCCAATTGGTCCTTTTTCTTACTAGCCGGAAGCACGCGGCAATGCCATTGGCTGTTGTAGTCGTCATTCAAACTTTGGCCGCCGTTAGGCGGGATGAGAGCGAGGTCGGTTGCGGAACAAATGCGGCCTAGCCAAGCTCATTTGACTGAGTGATCGTCGGTCCTGCCGTACGACGGTCCTCGATCCTAATGTGAGAAGCCGCTAGTAGAGAGGCGAGACTACTTTAAACATACTGTGTTTTAGAGATATAAAAGTTAGAAATAGGGAGTAATAACGGAAGCCCATTTTAATGACACGTCGTCTCTTTTGCCGCATTTTTCATATAAGATGCTTACTTTGATCGTTTAATGAAGACTCCGTGTGATTTCGCGCTTTATTTTTTGTTGAAATGTAACATATATTATAGACACTGACTCTGATAAACTCTTACCTCGAAATTACTGAATTTTACCTTTCGTTTATCGGCGTACCAGTCAGCGAAATAATGGTACTCTTGCATCGCACCGTACATGATTGAGGGATCAGCGCCTCCCAGTGACGTAATGCAGACACTGACATTATTGGCGGGATGAATGAGTAGCCTAAATTATACGCAAGGAGATGCCTTGACATTGACAGGAACTCCACAAAAACATTCTTCTCTTACGATTATTACTACTTCAGCTCCATTAATGGGACACTACAACTTACCGTCTGACTTGAAAATACTTGTGTCAATAGTACTAAAAAGGCCGCTCCTGAAACGGGACCGTGTCTCAGATTAAATCTGAGTGTATCGGCAATGAATGAGAGGGATGCAACGAGTGTGATGATAAACCAGGCAAGCGTAAGTGACTACATGTGTGGCAGTACACCACTCTTTATCCGAGGCTGCCCTGCAGAGACGAACCTTGCCGCTCGCCAACGGCTCCATCTGTCTGCGGCCCTGCAAGGAGTATATTTGCGTTTCACCATGCTTACTCTCTGCCCCATGCCGCACTGCAAGGTCCACGCCAACGCCGGCTCTGCTGGTGGGAGCTATATTTACAAACAGCTGCTGTGGCAATGGCTACAGCACCGTGAGAGGGAGGCAAAATAACAATTCTGTGATTTGTTTAGATTAGAACAAACATATCGACACACAGATCAAATTCGATAACTACTTGACAAAACAGGCGGCAGATTAAAAGGACCCACTGAACCAATTTAACATCGTATATTTTAATGAGTTCGGAATTTCTGTGTGAATAAACATCGGATGCAGGCATAAATAGGTTTAGCAATAGGAGAAAGTCATGACAGCACTTGTTCAAACATTTAAGAATTAGCCAGAGAGAAAAATTGTCACAATAAATTTCAAAGAAGCCAACGATGCACAGGGTGACTTTATAATTTTACTGTTCACAACTGCAATGTCAGTCATACAAACAAAATAAATAGTTATACACATAAGCAAAAGAAATTTAGCTTACCAATTCTGATCCACCCATTCCCCTTTCCCTCCACTAAGGAATAGTTTTGGCTTCTGAAACTTTGCATGAAAAGGTTGTTTTTGTGTTTTTCTCAACTCCAACATTTCTTCTACCACCATCACCACAATTCAGCTTCCTGCTCACTCACAAGGGGAAGACCAGGAACCCAGAGAAGGTGGAGTATTTCCAGCCTCCCATCAGGTTACCCCTCTCGAGTCGGAGATAGGCCTTGTCCCCCTTCTCCATGATCACCAGACCAGCATTGGTGGCTGCTTCCCTGGTCACATCCTGATCCCCGGCGAAAGCGGAAATCATCGGCCAGCCGTTCACCATCAAGCTGACCTGGAACAGAGATCACGGTCTGCTTTTACATCCTCAACCTCAGCGGTCACAAAGAAGAGTACAGTCAATTCCATGGCCGAGTGACTTACCTGAATTGTCTGTCTGTTGTAGGCTTTCACAACGTGGAAGTTGAAGCTGTAAACACCTCTTCTTGGTGCAAGGAAGACGCTGCTCTCCTGATCAAAATGACTGCCCACGTTCACCAAGATCTGCATTTGACAGCATGAAAGGATGGAGGCAGCAAGGATAAGATGTCACATACAAGCCGCAAGGTGTAAACGGTTTCCCAAATCAAACACAAATTCAGTGTTAAACTCAACTCATGTGATTTTATATATTCGCCTTCATCCATCATCCATTTTCTAATCCGCTTCTCCTCACGCGGGCCGCGGGCATGCTGCAGCCTATCCTGGCCCGTCTTCGGGCAGTAGGCGTGGGACGCCCTCAACTGGTTGCCAGCCAATCATTTGCCGCCTTCATTTAGTTCATAAAATATCCCTGTAAATAAACACCTCCCCCAGCAATTTTTTTTTTTTTGTCTAATAGGCCTTCACGGACCCAATGCAATGAGTCGATCAAAACCAAAGTTTCATACCGTCAAATTCAGAGAAAACAGTTGGCTTGGGATTGTTCGACACAAGGAAAAAAAAGTTGCGCAGTAAAACAGTTACTTGGAACGGAGTTACTAATTCAACACGTTTTGGTCGAGATTTTAGCAAGCATCATGGAAGTTGACATGTTTGATTTGCTTTTGTGGGCCACATAAAATGATGTGGCGGGCCAGATCTGGCCCCTGGGCCTTGGGTTTGACACCAGTGATTTACACCAAAGGACAATTTAGAGTCATCAAATAACCTAAAAAGCAAGCGGAGATCATGCAAACTCCATTCAGGAGTCCGGATTCAAACTCCTATCTGCAGAACTGGCAGTCAGATGTGCTCACCGCTGCGCTGCCATACAGTATACATACTATACATAAAAAAAAAAAAAAAAAAGCACATAAATAGGTGCTGAATGCAATGTAGAAGCTCTCCCAAATTTGCTTTAAAGTTGGTTGTTACAGCCAAGATAATATGCATTTTAAAAAAATTGAAGTTAACACTAACCATCAAATTCTCACTTTATTTCCCCCCACCCCCCCACCCCAAATTTCCAACCTTGTACATTTTGCGTGCACACTTACATTATCAAAATAGATGATCATTGTGCGATTGCTCATGTCCGTAGGCTCGTGGTTGGTCTGGCGGCTTGCAGAGAAAGCGACTCGGCCGCTGCCCGAGCGGACAGACATGCCCAGGGCGTTGCCAGCGGGTTCCGATGAAGGTGTGGAGTCACAGACCACCAAGCATTTTCCCTCAAGAATGATGGGCTCGGTGTCATTCTGCCCGTTGGCTCTCGGTGGCCCCCACAACAGCGGCAGAGCCAACAGTAGGGTAAGATCACAAGTACGCATGACTGATTCTTGGACGGTTAACCAATAATTGTTGATTCTCCGACGGGGGTCAAACAATGGTGTTCCCGTCACTGTTCAGAGTTGTCCATTCCTCGTTGCGGTTCAAGTTTCTTGTGTGTCAGTCCAAAGTCCCAAATCGCCCCGTCGCCGTCTCACAAGGCCTTAGCAGAAGAATGACAACTCGACCTCTGGTCCCTTCAAGTTGACTTCCTCAGCGAAAAAAGAAAAAAAAACTGACAAGGCAGCTGAAAAGTATCTGGGGACGGGAAGAATTTGACAAGATGAGCCCAGGATGGTTGTGAAAGATGCATAGATTTGATATACCACTAGCAGAAGGATGCAAGACTGAGGTGAGGTTGGGTGGGGGGGCAGAAAAAGAGAGGGGGTGGAGGAACAACTCCACTGAGTGACCATCTGTCTTGTACACGTTGCTCCTTCCCACCTAATGCCGTTCGCTCAACGTGCGTTTCCTCACATGGTGCGCGCACTTTCTCACTCGCGCACTCGTTTCACGCCGCAAAGCTAAACATGGAGCACGCCTTGCGAATTTCTCTCCGAGCTCTAGCGTTAAACCAGTTGACTGTTAAGAGGTGTTTCGAAAGAGAAGACGCGCTGATGTTCAAAGAGATGCTCCGCCTTTCATAATTGAAACATATTAGCAACAGATTATCAAACTTAAGTGGTGCAATGAATGGTCAAAATGGGTGTCACCTGTATGTATGTATCCCTTTGAGAATCTCGTATGCAACACTCCAAGCTCTGGGAAATCATGGATAAATATATTTAGTCTTCCTCCTCGTTCCTCGCATAATTCCGCACACCAGCCAGATTCGAGCCAAGGCAGATATGTGATCATCTCTCACTTTTGGTTCTCCCTCTCCCGCTCTACCTCGCTCTGCCACCCCCACTTTACCTCCGCCTCTCTCATTCTCGATGCTACGTCCACCCACGACCACAGTGCAATTTCAAAAATATCAAAGTCATTGAGCATCAAAGCCGTTTCAAGAGAAGAAACTTGAGTGGCGGAGTAAATGTAATGATGTCCATGCGTTCATTTTTATTTTTTTTGGCTGGGGGGGGGTGCATTTAAGCCTGCTCACAAACAAATAAAAATAGCTCTGAATGTGAGTGTCACCGTTATCTCGAGTTCAGATGTTTTCTTCGGCCGTGTCTCAGAAGCCAAAACAATTCTTGATCCTACATGATACCGCCACGCAAGACCTTGGCGAATCTTGTGACACTTCGGCTCAGTAAGCATCCAAAAACAGGACCAAATGTGTTTTTCTTCTTTGATTTACTTTATTGACAGACAGTCATACAAACAACCGTCCGTGCTCACGCTTACACCTTGGGACAATTTAGAGTGTTCAATCTGCCTGCCATGCATGTTTTTGGAATGTGGGAGGAAACCAGAGTACCCGGAGAAAACCCACGCAGACCCGGGGAGAACGTGAAAACTCCTCACTGGGAGGCCGGAGCTGGGATAGAACCCGGTACCTCTGCACTGTGAGGTCGACGCACTAACCACCGGGCCGCCGCTCACATCAGACTTTGACAATTGAAATATGGCTGTTGAGCTCCGATTTATAAAGTCCGAAGCCCAAGGACAGCGGTTCAGTGAAGGTGGTGCAGAAAGTGTGGACATGAGTGAGGTTGTTCGATGGTCCCACGTCAGAGAAGGTGACGGTGCCCGCACCGTAGTCCACAGCGACCGCAACTCGTTTGCCAGTCATTTTGTATGCCAGGCGCGTTTTCTTGCCGTCGTGCCAAGCGGCCAGTTTGCTGTCATGTTGCTGGGTCAAACTCCAGGAAAACTGGAGTTTAAAAAAAATAAACAAACACATTTGGTTAAACAAAAAATTGGATTGCATAAAAAGTGTGCTATGGTTTTTTTTTAATGGATGGTTTCATGTATAATTGAGTTCTAATTTCATGTATTGGATGGATTTTATTTACTTATAGAGAACAAGACCAGAATTAAGGAATCTATTTTCCTTGGCTCGAGGACCACATCTGCATTTTGAAAAATGTTGAAGCTTTTGCGGTGACACCAATTGGTAAAGAAGATTCCGATGGGGACCAAGCCCTGTTGCCAATAGCAAAAAACAAAAATTACGAATTTAGTGAACTCTTATCGTGTTTCAAAAGAGTACAAAAAATGGAAATTGGTTAAAAAAAAAAGTTTTAGTTTTGCAAATTGCTGCATGGAGTAGGTTGAACTGTCAAAAAAAAAAAAAGAATACAAATCGGTGAATCAGCGAATTGTGAATATTCCAGAAACTGCTACCCAGTGGAACCTCTGCACTGGAAGGCTTCATTGTGTGAACAACTCCAAATGTCAACAAAAATCCTGAACTCAAATGCACAGCGGGCAAGACAGGTTGGAGGTGTGTTCAAAATGAAAACGAATGCAAAGCAACAATGGAACGTAACGGTGACTTCTTTTCGCGCTTTCTTGACACGTGCCGAAGCGTGACTCCGATTCCTCCACACACGTACCTCGTTGTTACCAAAGGCATTTCCTTCCTTCCCCTTCCTTCCGATACTCCTGTAGCAGATAGCGATATCCCAGAATCCTTCGGCTTCTAGCTCCCAGTAATGAGTCCCGGCCGAGAAACTCTGAAGTGTGAGGACCTGCGGCCAGTGGTCGAAGCGTTCCGGGTGAGCTGCGCAGGGCAGACGTGTTTTGACCCTGGTGACCGATCGCAGGTCATCGGAGATGCTCAGAAGAGGATGAGATGTGTTGGTGTCCAGAGTCAGATGACTTGTCACTGCGGTCAGGAGGAGAAAAACGGTTTACCTTTGGCTCTCGGCCAATACTGTTAACTGCGTTTGTTTATTGTTTCGTTTTTCGTGACCTTCCTCCCACATTCCAAAACCGTGCTACATGTTAGGCTCGTTGAAAACTGTAATTAATCATCGATGTGCATACTTGCATATGTTTTTTTTTTTTACACCCAAGAACAATATTGCGGCGCATTTACTCACAGAGCTCCCTCTTGAGCTCGCTGAGGCAGCGGAGGGTGGCGGTGATAAATTCTCGATACTTGCCCTCCATCTCCTCCAAAATGTGCTTCCTGTCCAAGCTGACAGGTTCTGGTGTGAAAAGGGGACTACTAAGGTCAGCGAGTAACCTACAAAGCAAGAACACACACGTCTCACTGGAAGGACATAAGACACCTGGACTGTATTACATTTTCAATGCTGTTCTGTGTTTTTTTTTTTTTTTGGGGGGGGGTTGAATTGCTGAATGTTAGATTACTATCAAAACACAGCATCGGTATCACATCAAAGACTTTTTTTTCTCAATATTACCATGTTGGATCAATAATCTTGTGGTTGTTGCGAGTACATACAAAGAAAAGAAGACCCGAGACACTTTGGTGCCATTGACTTACTTTGTGTCGTCAGACTGAAAAGCCTGCGGAAAGTGGAATACACAATCAAAGCAACACTGCGATTAGTATTGTGGCCAAGCTGGACATTTCGACACAACTGACAGCATTCGAAAGATATTTTGCACATCATGCCACTGGGGAAATATTTGACTGTGCAAGTAGGATCGGCCTGCTAAATGGATGTTTGTAGCACCGTGCATTCTTACGTTATTCGGGCAAAAAAAAATACACGTTAGCAAAACCTCTTGTTGCTGTCTACTTATTTAATTGTATTCATTAAAAGAGGAGAAAACAAAGTTCCACCATTTTGAAAACTGCATCACGGTCAACGGCAGCCCCCCGCCGTCTTACGGAGCGATTGCGATTGTGATCTTACCCAGATGAGCAGGAAGGGGTCGGTTTCTGCGAGCAGCGAGGTCAAGTAGTGCTGGATGCTCATCGTCTGGCTCACGTCCTCTCTCACTTTGGAACAGTCTTCGTGCACACGCTCGATGATGTGCTGTCTGTCCTTCTTGGTGAGCTCCATGAGCCCCGCCACCAGTTTCTCCACTTGGACCTGCAGCTCCGAGCCCAGGCGCTCCACTTGGGTATTTTCCTCCATCAGACAGTCCTAGTTAAGAACGCGGATCTGAACTTTTACGTAAAGAACGGGGATGATACCAGAGCAATCTGACTTGGTGCAAAGTGTGCGGTGAGCTTCTCGTGACGCTTTGGCATCTTTGCCGCATCACGGCTTTTATCAATCATTTAACCTGAGACCTTTTCCAAAGTGTTTGAACTGAGAAAAACAGAAGGTCCCCTCAACATAACAAATGCCATGACACAAAGTTCAAAGGTTTTGTATATAGTGTAGCGAGTCACTGTGTAAAGCCCACATCCAAGTTGGGTGGCTTTCAGTGTGATCTGTAATCGTCATTTTTGTCACCGGTGCACTCCAACTCGGGTCGAAACATCCGTTGCCGCTGCGTCGTTATGACTCACCGCAACGGTGGAATCAACGTTGGCATACTCTTGGAGGATTTCCTCTCCGTTCTTGACTTTCTCCTCTGACTTTCCGAGCAGCGTCTGGAGAATCACCTAAAAAAAACACACGTCTTTGAGAGACATAATTTCCGAAGCAAAGGGTAACGCCAACAAAACGAACCTTCAGATCCTCTTCCACCTGTCTTAGGCCCTTGATGTTATGCTGGACGTGGCTTCCCTCCAGCAGACAGTCGCAGCACACGTAAACCCTCTCGTCGGCGCAGTAGTAGCGCAATAGCTCCGTGTGTGCGGGGCACTTTCGCTGAGACAGTTGGCCCAGCGGATTCACCAACAAGTGGGTGCTAAACGCGGGTCTTTCCAGGTGGTGCCGGAGGTGTTCCGCACATAGAGACACTTCGCACCGCAGGCACGTTTTGACAGCCAGGTGCACCAGCCCTTCGTCCGCCTCCGGGGAGCAGCAGTCGCACAGCACTTCGCCGTGCTCCTCCACGCACTGAGGGCAGGTGAAATGACCTTTGCCCTCACCGTGGGTGGTCCAGGCCTCTCGGACACAGGCAGGACAGAAGCTGTGACCGCAGGGAAGCGGGTGGCACTGGCTGAAGTTATCTTTGCAGACAGAGCAGGTCAACTCTTCCGTCGCGGATTCCATTGTGAGGCGATGCTTGTCAAGTTCCTAAAGTGAACTAACAACGCAGTAAGAAAAAAAATGAAGCACATCAGTCATGATAGTGGTAAAATAGAAGGAGACCTAAATTGTCGTTGTTACATTTGGAACCGCAGGTGGCCAACATCACCTTTGCGAATGTTCTGAACTGAGTAATAATAAAGAAAAAAAATCCTAATTTAGCGACTAGCATTAGCTAGTATGAAAACTTTTTTCTGATTAGACAAAGAATTTTTTTATTACAAGACGCTTGTGGTTTTGATGCTGGCACAAGATACACCACATTTCCCATGAATCACTTTTGTAGCTGACAATACTGTACCAAACAAATCTCTTAAATAAGGCCATGGATGGGGAATATCTTGCTTCTCCAAATAGGCTGCCATCTTTACCGTTCTGTGGTTTACGTTTCTCCATGTCACCGCAATCCAGTGGCCTATTTTAGGGGGCTGAAGCTCCTCGAAAATGTTCCTAATAAGAACTACCCTAAATTATTTTTTTGGGGGGGGACAAAAAGTTCCAAAAGTTCAATACAAAGTGGCCAGACAATGATTTTGAAATATACACAGAATTCCTCGTAATTCTCGTAAACATGATCAGAAATCTGTGGGTTTCCCTTTTTCTTCAGGACGCCTTTTGCTATCATTATCCACTTCTTTCTACTTCAAGATTTGTAATACTATACTTGAAATGTTATTAATGAAGGTAATTATTAGAAAGTGGAGACAGCCAAGAGATAACATCAAATTAGCCCTCCCCAGATATTTTCATGACTACTATTTTTATATTTCTTTTACAATTTAATTAAAACATCATTGAACAATCTTTAAGGCCCCTTCTGTCCACAAAACAAAACCTAGTGATGTCCCTGCACCAATCCATCTTTTGTTCCGCTTCATTAGACGCAAAGATCCCAATCGGGATCTCAGCCGTGATTGACTTTTTCTCTTTGTTTTTGTATCGGGCCATCTGTGACGAAAGTAACGCGTGGAAAGCACCAATGTCAGTTTTCAAATGTAAAAGTAAAAATTCATCCGAAAAATTCATGTCATGACTTGCCACCAATGCTGAGAGCTCACGTGGCCATTCATAAGCCAGAGTTGAGCTGGCTTTTCGCTGCAACGGTGAACTCCGATAATCATTTCAACAACGTGCTATAAATACCAAGTAAAATACTTCGCTAAACCTCTGCCCTGAAACACAAAATTCAGTAAAGTATAGGAAGAAAGGGCATCGTCGGCATGCATTCTATAAAGCAAGGGTTGAAACACTGACACCGGCAGAGTCTTAAGTGGTTGACTGCAACATAGGGATCAAGAGATCATCCTTGACAGCTTGTAGACCCGATTTACTGTCAGCTGTTGCATGCCCAACCGCAAACACAATCAGTCACACGTTATACCAACAGCAGTTTATAAAATGTGTAAGTATGTGGGAAATTTTTTAAAAAGAAACAGAGAGGTTCTCACCTGTAGGTGTGTCGGTGTTTGCAGTGGGTGGCCATCGATCTGCTCAAGGTGCGAACTATGCTGACCCGTATCTAATCCCGACGGATTCACCCCGACCTCCTTTCGTGTCTCGTTTAACCACTGCACTGGGTTCCGTGCAGTCACGTGACAGCGAGATGGGAGGAGGCCCAGAAACGGTTCAGAAAGTACAATGTTGATTTGTTCCGTCATACAAAGTATACAGTGCTCACAAAAGGTTGCTAGGCTTTCGGGTGAAACTTCCAAGATGAAGCCAAGGCCCTTTGTTGTAAAACAGCAAGTAATTCCCCAAAAAACTGAAACGCTGAACAGTTGTAAATGTGCATTCGAAGGTTTGGGGAAGGTCAAATGACTTCGCAAGTTTACTGGGTAAGGGTTGTCATAAATGTCTTTTCATCGCTCGTTCCAGGCAAAGGCCTCACTTTTTCAGTTGCATGTAGTTGGAGGCGGCTTGAGCAGCCTCTCGTGAAAACCGAATATATTTTATTTATTTTAATCGTTGTTTTTGAGCGACATCTAGCGGCATTTTAGGTCTAAGAGACGTTTTTTTTCTCCCCCTTTCGTCCTACTGAGTTCACACATCACACTTGTTTCCGCTTTATGCGTTGACAAACGCGTAACAGATTCGTGAATCTAAAAATTTTGAAACAGGTAACAAGTCTAAGAAGACATACTTTGTTGTACTTCCCATTTGTACTGTATTATACTTTCAAATACATTAACGCGATGATTTGGAATCTCATCCCAGTCCGAATCTTTTACAACTGACCTGTTCCAAGCCGTCCATTTTTTTTTGACGGGTGCCTGCGCGTGTGTGCGCGCGCGTGTGCGTTTGCTTGCCTGTGAGACGCACTCTGAGAGCCAATAAGGAGGTAACCGTGGTCACTGTTTCCCAGAGGACCGTCTGGCGGTGAGGGTCATTAATTATAACGGACAGACAGTCAGACAGACAGACAGACAAGCCGGTACCGCAGAGAGCGCAGACAGGCTGCGAGACGTACAAAGACAAACAAGAAAACAAGCCTCCCCCTCTTTATCGAGTCCATCCGCACCGCCATGCCCGCCCATGTGTCACCGCAGCACACTCAAGAAGAACTGTTTATTTGTCAGCAAATAAAGAAAAGCGATTAGTGAGGGAGATAAATAATTGAGGGGGAAATGCGGCTATCCTACTGCGCATCCCCATGTGGTGAATAGGGAAATAGTGCGCCAGTGTCCCGTCTGAGAGGAGGCGTCGATCACCCGAGCTCCGGAGTCTCTTCTCCCTTTTTATTATTCCGCAACCAAAATCATCCTTTCAAACATGGTAAGTTATTTTTGCATCGCGAACAAAAAGATGTGTCGCCTGCTGTGGCCTATATGGTGGGGGTGGGGTGCACATCCGGGACCTTTTTTTTCCGGTCATAATATTTTATGAATCATAACTTGTTATGATGTGGGGGCGCGCGCGCGGCGTGCAACAGGTGCTCGTACAGTAGCGGGAGCGCGCATTTGGCTGCCATACATATTTGTGCGCGTGTTTACGACGGACATTGCACGGCCCGCTGCCGTGCCGTCGTGGGGTCGGCGAGATGGCACGACGGGATCTCGCTGGCATCGTGGACGGACTCGTAGTCTCTTTTTGCCAAATTGCGCAACGGTTTATGTCGTACGGTACTTAAATCATCGGTTGGTGTAGCTCGGCGCGATCACATAGTCTGGGTCGGAGAGATGAGCTCAGCGGCTTGGACTTGGTCGGAATAAAAAAAAAAAACATCGGGTTTCCTTTCGTAAAAGCCGTGTTCATTGTGACCTTGTTTGTGAATAACTTGACTCCTCGTCATGCGGGTTTTCTTTCTTCCGCCTGTGTACCTCTGTCCACGTGTTAAACATGTCGGCGTGAGGGTGAAAGGGGAGCATTGTGCCTCCACTCGCTGGCATCATGTGCGGGAGGAGGAGGAGGCGATGCTCATTCAGCTGTGCTCTCTCTCAACGCCATTGTTGCAAATTCCACCTCGTTTCAAGCGCCTTGTTTCCCAGGGTCTCCCTCGGAAAATGATTGCGCCGAATCGTGACAATCGCCACACTCCTTTCGATCGGCGTCTCAAAGACCTTTGTTACAATTGCACTGGCATGAAGGAACATTTTATTCGCGCCCACCTAAGCAAGTGGTTCTCTTGGGTCAAACTAAACTCGCACTGAAAATCCAGGCTCCGTTTATGTGCATCCGTTATGTGCACGCATTTTGATTTGTTTTTTTGTCTGGATCATCCACGATTAGAATTTACTCAAGAGAGGGCAATGAGTCTCGGCTCACCTTTTGAATGCCAAGTAGAAAATGAACAAGTAAGATGTGTGTGTGCGCGTGTGTGTGTGTGTGTGTGTGTGTGTGTGTGTGTGTGTGTGTGTGTGTGTGTGTGAAAAAGGATTCTCAGCTGAGTGAAACAACAATAAGATGGATGGATAGATAAATTTGCTGACCACTTCTCCTGATGAGGGAAGGACTAGGTCATGTTTTCTATAACTATGTGTGTGCATGTCTATCTATCTATACACAATATATATATATATATATATATATATATATATATTAGGACAAGCTCATTCAGATTTACTCACCACCATCTCTGCTGGTTGCCGCATGTTAATGTGCTATAATAATGCAAACAATTCCACACTTAAGGAAGACTGCCGATAAAAACTATCCCTTACATCAGGGCGGTCAAATAGTTCCGGGTTCACCCAGGGGGCCATGATGATGTTAAAACCAAATAAATGTTTAATCGTCTCATCATATTATTACATACGGACAATAGATTGATGGATTTTGGGGAATCAGAAGTTGAGGATGATATTTTGTTCAATTATTGTTTAAGCGAATACAAAAAGGAATGAGAGAATCTTTTAACCAATGTGTTATGTGAGCTTAAAATTGTATTTTCAGGTTATGGTGGTGTTGGAACTGCATTCCGATCAAAGCTCCTTAATTTTTTTTTTTTTTTTTTGGCGCTCAAAATAAGGGGCACTGAAGCACAAACATGCTCATGAAGAAGTGCGTGTAGAATGTTTGTGTGCAGCAACATAAGTGCTCCACTTGCATGCGAAGTGCTTTTTGCATCTACAGTAGACTTATGACTGTTGATGTGGTCGTGTGCCTTCACATCTGTCTCTTGAGTCTTTTTGGGCAAAGTAAGATTCCTGTTGGTCTGTGAGTCATTTGTCTGCCGGGATGTTGTTGTTTTCTTTGCATGCCACCTCCTCTTTTTCGGCCTTTCTGCTCGTCCTTAAACTATATCAGGAATGCGACTGTAGTCTGTAGGGTAGTGGAAAAAAAACTTTTGACAAAAAAATACGGTGGCTAATATAACCCAACGACCCCTTTGAACTTACAAGACATACAGCAAAGACAGCTTGTGTGTGTAAGCCTGTTTATGTGTGTGTGTTTTCTAAGACTGTAAACTGTGCAAACGCTGACATCTTGTTTTACTTTTGCCAGGTGACTCTTTGGCAGTGAAGTCATATCCATTCCACCCAGATCCTCCCTCTTGCTCGTCATCTTTTCTTCTCTCAAGGCACCCAGCAGGTGGTTCACATTCCCACTCCCCTCCCAAGAAGGCCTCCCGGATCGACTCTCTAGATGCACAGGAACCAGAATATTCATTCTCCTCAAACCGGTCCGTCTACCAGGCCCTCAAATACCACCCGTCCCCCCACACGCTTGACTTCACGTACTTAGACCCGTCTTCTTCAAATCTACACCCACCTGCCCCTGGACTTTTGGCTTGTAAACCCAAATCTTCTGCAAGTGGCCTCTTCGAACCTGTCAGGGGGCGTCCCCATGGCCTCTCCCAAATTGGGCTTGTCAGCCACTACCACGTCCTCATCCACATCATCTTCTGCCTCCATGTGCCCTCCACAACCCGGAAGCCCCAGCCGTGTGCCCGAGGGTCCCCCGAGTCCTGTTACTCCCACACCGAGTCCAGGAGTGGCGTCCGCCTCAGCTGCTCCCACACGTGCCCAGTTGAGTCTGGCGCTGATATTGGAGGAGCTTCGGGTGCTTCAGCAGAGGCAGATCAATCAGATGCAAATAACAGAGGAGATCTGCAGACAGGTACTTCGTTTGGGTGGGGCGTCTTACTCGATAGACACACCAACTCAACATCTTCTCCCATCCTTACCTCAACTGTGTCTGGAAGATAAAAGGGCCAGCAGCCCAACGACCCAAACCACCGCTACCCAGCCTTCCACAACTGTCGCTCCTCTCCTGGCATGTTTTTCGACCTTACTTCCCTCTCAGGTGGCCAACAAAACTTCCAAATCAAACAATGCCTTGTCTCAAATCCTGCAAACATGCAAGCCCCAGATGGAAAGCGCGGGTGCCGGTCCGGGGGACAATAGTTACCTGAGAGTGAGCACGCAATCTTCAGACCAATCCGCATCTTCAACCGCCGCCATGACTTCCTCCGCCTATCCACTCGCTTTATCCTTGGCTCTACCGAACCGCTATTTCAATGAGAAATCCCCAAATGACATCTCAATGAGTGAGCACTGCGGCAAGTCCTACCTAAATGCGTCCCTCTCTTCGGTATCCCCAAATGCCCAATATGCTTTGCAATCTCTCTCCGGAACCGCGAACCCTTCATCGACCACTTCCGCTAGCAGTACGAGCCGGCTCCAGCATGCTTGCCGTTTTTGTGGCAAGATTTTTAGTGGGGACTCAGCCCTGCAGATACATCTGCGTTCGCATACTGGGGAGCGGCCCTATCAGTGTCCCGTGTGCCTCAGTCGCTTCACCACCAGGGGAAACCTCAAAGTGCATTTCTTACGCCACCGTGAGCAAAACCCGGAGCTCTCGCTTTCACTCCTTCCGCCATCTTTGTTTGGCGTAGCTTTGCGGCCCGCCGGCTCCACCGATATGAGTCAGATGAGTAGCGTTGGTTGCGGCAATAGTGCTTTGAAGATATCGGAGAAGAAGCCGAAAAGCAGGCCTGAGGATGACATATGTGGCAATGACATGGAGGTCAGCGGTGCCAATACCGGGTTCCCATTAGGGGCATCGGGGGGGTCCACCCCTTGCACGCTCCCCCTGCCTCCAAGTGTGGATCTAGCCTTGATTTCGCATTCCTTGCTTCAACTTAATAGGGCGGCAGCTGTAGCAGCTGCAGTCTCCATTGCCTCCGGCTCATCTTACTCATCCCCTTCCACCTCCTCAGCCCCGTCATCTTCACTAGCCACCTCCTTACTTTCAAATCCGACGTCATCTTCACCGTCCGCCATTCCAGGCTTGCCCAAGGGTTCAAAGCACTCAAATAACGCTGATGAAAACACCCCCCCTCAAGCTCCCATGCTTTCTCCCGCCGCTTACTCCCAGCTGGCCCACCTGCCGAAGCTTCTTTTCCCATCCGGTTCCTCCAGCTCTACCTCAAGTGTCACACACTCGACACTGCACCCAGCTTTGGGGTTGCTCTGCAACTCGTTACCTTCGAATCCGGGCTCCCACCAACCGGCTCCTTCCAGCTTTCCGCAAATCACTTTCCCTTTCGCTCCCTTTCATAAACCTGCGACCACTGTACCGTCCTCCATCGCTGTCTCGATTCCGACATCGGAAACTTCCAAGTTGCAGAGGCTGGTGGAGAAGCTGGAAAAGACGCCTCCGTCAACTTCTCCATGGACTTCTTCCTCTCTTTCCACCTCCACGATGGAAGTGCATTCGAGCAATGCCATGGCCTCTCTCGCAAGTTTGACGAACAGTAATTGCACAAATAGCAGCACTTCTACCACCTACATCATGGCAGCTCCACCCTCCTCGACACCGGTTTCCACATCCGTTTCAAACTTCACCCGGCAGATGGTGGCTGCCCTCGGCATGGGTGTCACAAATGCAAATGCCATCGCAGGAGGGCTGCTGCCGGCACTGAGCATGACAGGTGCAGCCAACAATTTGGCCAGCAATCAATGTGGCGTGTGTCTTCGGGTTCTGAGCTGCCCCAGGGCACTGCGCCTCCACCAAGCCACGCACCTTGGAGAACGCCCTTTCCCGTGCAAGTTGTGTGGAAGATCCTTCTCAACCAAAGGCAGCCTGCGCTCACATCTGGCAACCCATCATGCTCGGCCCCCCAACGCTCGCGTCCACAACTCTTGCCCACTTTGCCAACGGAAATTCACCAATGCCCTCGTCCTTCAACACCACATCCGTATGCATCTTGGCGGTCAACTGCCTCCGGTAGGCGCTGACGATTCTACCTGCGAGATGACGGCTCAATCCAACGCCGAATCTTTGCCGCAACCTGAATCCAACACCAGCGAACAAAAGAATGACTCCAGTAAAACGTCTCAACCGGGCAACTCAACGAGCCTATCCCCAAGTTCGCAATTTGAAAATGCAGAAACTCACTCGTGTCCGATTTCTGACAGTAAACTTGTACCACACACCGCACCTGGTACCAAATCTGTGTCCTCGAGCCCAGACCTCAACCCCCCCACTGATCTTAGCCCAGACCCCTTCATGAATACTACAACACGAACTCCACCAGCAACCACGGATGACCCTCCTTTCCTCTGTGCAAGCGCCCAACCGCCAATCACCCGGCAAACCAAATTTGATGAATTTTCCCTGGTTGACAAAGACGACCGAATTGAGCAAGCCGCCAGGGACCCCTTCTCCAAATCACTTTCACCCATTGCCCAAACCGCTGCATCACATGATGTCATGGCCGTGGACTGCGCCGAAACATCCTCATTTTCTGATGCGGCCGTTATCCCCAGATCAAATCCGCAGGATCGACAAAGCACACCTGCAAATTGTGCCCCCTTTGCTTATAGCTGTCCAAGTACAATTTCTCCTTCAACGCAGAACCAAGAGCTTCCCACCGCTGTCGACACTCCAGCCCCGGATCCAGGCTTGGCCTCCTCCGGGGTCCACTCACCTGAACCTAGGGAAGAAGACCGAGATCAGTTTTGTACGCCACCAACGCCCACGCCAGCAAAAATGCCTGAGGAGCACCCCAAAATGATGTCAGCCTCAGAAAGCGCAAACGGTAGTCAAGGGAGTGATGCAAATAGGGCTCCCACTTTCGCAAGGGAGGCAGGTCAGAATTTTGATTTTGACTTATATGAGAGAGACAACCCAATCGATGGCGTGAATAAGATGATCGGATCCACCCCGAATGAAGCAGCGGAGGTTTCCGTTCCTCTCAGCCTTGCCCCAACTCTCCCGTCTCCGATAGCTCGCCCCGAGAAGAAGACCTACTGCTGTGCCGAATGTGGAAAAGCATACGCTAGTCGCAGCGGACTAAAGGTAGGAAAACGTTTTTTTTGAGCATCAACACGGTATGGCGAATGATTCGATCAACATGTATGGGTGCTGAGCCAAAAGAACAAATTGAAAGGGTGACATCCGTGCAAATATAAGGATTACTTCAGTTACATTTTCATTAACGTGGAAGTAGGTAAGCGCATACATTCACAAACTATCGATTGTACTGTACGTTATGTATGTAATGTCAATACAATTTTTTGTACCGCGGCATCTTGGCTGGCGGTTTGGCTCCAGCTCACTCCTATGAGGACAAGCGGTGCAGAACATGGATGGATAGATGATGAGATATCATTGTAATAGCTGTAATACCTCCATGGGAGGCATGCAGAGTGTACTTTGATCACCCCTTCAAGATCCTCCAAAATGGTTGCGTGCCCACTAAATTGGAAAGAATCCGATCAGATTTCCTGTTTCATGATTGTAGTCCAGTCCCTGTTTTTTTTTTTTTTTAAAGTGAGGCTGATGCTCTTGTTTTATTTTGTTATGCCAGGGGCATATGAAGCACCATGGTGTCGTAACCAAAGCAACGCGCCCTTTAGCCCGAAGTAGTCGATCATGTGCCGACAAAGCTCAGTCTTCGACATCAATAGGTTCCTTGACCATTCCGGCCTCCACAAGTGCTGCGGGTTTCTGGAACCAGTACCAAGCTTTCCTCAACGCCAGTCCTGGGTCAACCGATGATACCGCTCCTGCCAGCCAGGAAACGAACGAGTCTGCAAAATCTCCTTTACAGCCGGAGCTGGAAAAGGGCGCTCCCAATGAAGCGGGAGATGAATGAGCTCGACTCCCTTTGAATGACCGAATACCGCTTCCTTACTGCATTTCATGTAGCCTGTCAATTTGATAGTCACAGTCATGTTTGTATGTGAAAGTTGTGAGTCAGTGGGTTTGGTCTTCTTGCGAAAACAGACTTACTATATGTCCCACAAATCCAATTATTCAAGTAAATCTGTTGTCAGTAATTGCCGTGACAAGACTTGTTAACTAAGCGTGTTTCAATGTTGTACGTCAAATCTGGTTCCGCTTTCTACTCGCCACTGAAAGGTAACGTCTACCTCAGGTATGGTATTAAAATCTGACCTATGACCAAGAGGCTCAAGCAAAAGAGACTTCCTTCAGAAAGAGCGTCACTTTGCAATAACAAACCGGACCAACAATATCCATGCCTCTCCGTGTGGTATATTATGTCAATTGTCTCCGATGTTCTGATTCATACACGGTACAAGAATGCATTGTGAAGTAACCCGAAGCACATCTGCGGCATCTGTGAATCTACTGAGGACATGAACAATATGAATGTTGTTTGGTGCAAAAGTAACCTGTGGCACAAGCTAAAAAGACGATAAACGTTTATGTTTGTTGTAAACCCTACACTCATTATCTCTGTATTAAAAAGAAAAAAATAGATGGGAACAGAAGGAAAAAGAACCATCATCTTTATTTTTGATGATCTCACATTTGAACACACATTTTGATTAAGTTCAATCCATCACTGTGAAAAACCATCGTTGTGTAAAACCTAAACAAAAACAGAATATAATGATGGATAAACGCTTTTCAGTTTGTGGGTTACAAAGAGAAAATATTTTGTGCGCAGTTTTTTTGTGGCAAGTTATTAAAACGAGTATTGTATATTCGTAATAATTATTATTTTTTTAAATTACTTTTGGACTTAAGTACATTTCATAGGCAGTTATGTGTACTTCTAGGTAAAAGAGTTCAATCATATTTTTACATAAAACACCTATAATTCTACATAAGTATAAAATGCGAGTACTTTTACCACCTTTTTGCTGAATGTAAATGTTTTCATTGTTGCGGTTTTATGTGCTTTTAAGCGGTGAAGATTTTCCCGTAAAAAGTTCAAATGGTTGTTTTACAAGACTGGTTGTCGGGGCGGGACTTTAGCACAATGCGAGCGTTAGATGGCGCAAATGTTCCCTTTAAGTCAACCGTAAAGTGCGTCTCAATAATTCCAACGTTTACATTTGTGGTAAAGTATTCATGTTCAGTTTAATAATCGGGTGAGCTCAAAGGGCCATGCATTGTCGACAATGTGGATTTGAAACAGATTCCGTGTAACAAACTATAAACACATCAAACCGATGTATATGCTTTAAATTCAACAGAGCTTGAAAACTGGTCACGTCCGTTTGTCATAATTGTTTCGGTACATACTTCCAGGACAAAATAAGGCGAAGGAACGATGACTATTTTGTCGCTTTGCGTGCTTGGGTACAAGTTCGTTGAACGTGTTGTGCAATTATTTCATGACGTCCTGCGAGCTCGTGGGCGGCCATTTTCTAAACGGGCTGTGGGGGGCGTTGCAAACTAACCACCACGTCTACGTGGGGAAGACTGCAAAAGGGGACGCGGCTAAAAAGAGGGGACACAAGTTAAGCATTTCTACCAAAACAGCTGACTTTTTCCCCCCCCCCTCCTGTAGTCTCCGAAAGCTTCAGTTAAAACGGGAGAAGAATGCCCGTCGTTGTTAACTAACTTTAAATAATTGGACAAGTAACAGGCGCTGGTAGCCGTCCGGATTCCTCCAGCTTTCTTTCTTTCTTTTTTTTTCCCTTTGTTACTCCGTTTCTTTTTGAAGAATGTTTTGACGACGTGAAGACTTCGTCCAATTGAAAGACAAAACGACCTCTTTCTAATAGTTTTGACTCGAGAGTCACGAGATGGCACCGCGGAGGCTGAAACTGCTGGTCCGACTGCTGCTGCTGGCGGTGCTGTTGGACGCGAGCACGCAGGCGGGGACGGCCAAAAACATCAATCCCGAGGTGAGTTTGGATCGAGGTGAGAAGGTGAAAAAAATACAGATTAGGCGGACAGTGGAAAGTACCTCAAAATGGAAGGAAATGACGACAAGACTGTACTTAAGAAACGTATTTAACTGCACCATCAAATATGGAAATCATCACCGGAAAGTCTATGAAAACAGCATTACTCATACTGATCTTGCCGTTGCCGTAAAAAAAATTGGATGGAAATAGAAATCATGATCAGTTCCACAGTTCAAATGTGCAGGCATTTTCAGGAAAATTCCGTTGTCATGCAAGTGTAAAAAGAAGTTAACCACAAAACATCTTCAAGTGATAATGCGTATGGTGATGATGAAGTCCAATTTCTTGTTTTTTACATCCCCTTGTTGGGGTTATTCTAGTTTTGAAATAAGTGTTGCATTAAAGCTCAAGAAAAAGAAAAATAGCCCGCAGTTCATTGGTGATCCCCGAACAGCGTAGTTTTCTGTTTTTTACATCCTCTTGTTGGGGTTATTCTAGTTTTGAAATAAATGTTGCATTAAAGCTCAAGAAAAAGAAAAATAGCCGTTCATTGGTGATCCCCGAATAGCGTAGTCATAAGGTATACTGAGGTTTTGTGTGAAACCATTTCTGATGGTCCTTCACTGAAATTTTTGTGAAATACTAAAAATTTAATTCCAAATCCCCAGATTTGGCCATGGGGGGATTATTTTTTTTTTTTTTGGGGGGGGGGGGAGATTGTCTCTAATGTTGCTGTGTAAAAAGTCTAATCTTGTAGGAACCACGGGATATTTAGAATCTGAAAATACTAGCTTTATCGAGCAAAACACGATTTCATTGCTTTCTTGAAGTTTGCGCTTCGATACACTGAAAAAGGTCAGAACTATGACAAGCGGTATAAACTACAATGCTTGTTGAGTAGCAGACGTTTTGCTGCTGGACTCTTTCAGCATGCACCCAAAGGCACACTTTTGAGAATGAAAAGATGATGAAATAAGAGAAAATAACAAGAAAGGAGACTGTAAGTTGTTTGAATTTATGAGAATTGATTGTTTTTGTGGTCCTTGTGAAGACCGCATCCGCCAAGGATGCTAATGTCAACACAAGTCACAAGACGGGAAGGGCTTCGACCGGGGTTAGCGGAAGCAGCCCATAATGATGATCGCGCTCGTGAAAACGCTGAGGAGTGCTGAGGAGGCAAAAGCAAGAAAGCATGAGAAGGCAAATGGGGAGAAATCTGAGTTTGTATTGTGGTCGGGGCAGAGTCAGAGGCAATTTTTGTGGGCGCGGGAGGGGGTTTAAACGCGTCTTGTTGATAAGAAGCAGCGGCTTCTCAGGTTTTTTGGGGTCTTTTACAGCATGACTTCAACGGCCCGCATGATTGCTTTGATCAACCGCTGGTGCCAAATTTCTTCCTCATTATTATTACAGCTGTCCTGCGTGGAAGAATGTTACATTGGGCTCTGCTGACCTACATTCAAGTGCCCAACGAAAAGGGACGACTTAGAGGAGTCAAACGTAAACAAAGGAACTGGCTCAGCACCAAATTCAAAATCCAGCTTGGAAACCAAAGATGATTTTGGGAGTTTGGAGTTTGCATATGTTTGCAATATGTGAAACGAAGGCCACCGCGACACTCCCTCGCAAAACTTCTCATCGTCAGAAGATAGCAGCCTGTATTCCAAGTTTCTTGGAAAAGAACACCGCGGGGAGTGCGGACCTCCGGCGTGGTTGAATTGCGAATAAAAAGCAAAGATATCCCGTCACATATAAAAGAACTATCGTCTTGGTCATTTTAATGACATTTCACGGGGTCTTGCCTCTTCATTTGGGGCACTGCTTTAAAATTCTTAAATGTGCAAAAAGTACCGCAAGTACAAGGGGTTACTGTTACAGAACATGCAAACTCCACACAGGAAGGTCAGAGCCGGAATCGAACCGTACCACCGTACCACCCCCACTAAAATAGTGATTTAAAAAAAAAAATAGTGGCAGTTTTTGCAAACAGTAAAAAAAAAAAAAAAAACGTTTTTGATGTGGAAGCCACCTAAAATGCTTGAGACAGGTCTGTGTGCAGTAGCGCAAAAAGCCAGTGAAGTCATCGCATTTCATTAAAAGCTAACATCCTGCAAGTCAACATTGATATGGCAAACTTAATAGCTGCCATTTTGGATTCTGGGGACGAGTAAACCTTTTCCCTTGAGAATCAACGGCAAAAATAATACCCCTACTTTTTCTGGATTTGCACCAAAATGTCATGTGTTGACTCAGAAATCCCAAAAAGTTAACCGCTGTTAATAACAAACCATCGAAACAGGCGCCATAAAGCGATTTCAGTCTGTTACTTTTCAGTTGAACATCCGTTGTCGAAGTTGCTCTTTCATTCAAGATAAGCGAGACTGGTCTTTGCTCACATTGTTTCATTTGTGCCCCTTCCAAACATTTGATACAAATCTTTTTTATTTATTTATTTAGCGTAACAAGCTAACCATAATCGCGCAATGCTAACAGCATGAAGACATTTGTTTGGAACACGGAATGTAGGGCGGAAACGGACCTCATTGCTCAACCAAGCATTCAACTTTTAGCAAAAGCTCTTCTTGAGATACAGTCGGCGTCTTCCGTTGTTGCGGCCAATTTCCCGGTGGCTGTTGGGTTGCCGCAATAATCCCAACAAGGATTCTGTCGTGAGGATGTTTAGGTGATGACTTTGCGAGCGGTCATCAGGTTTGCGTGAAGTGTTATTAACACTGACGGCCACCGGATACGGTGGATGAAGTCATTTCCTTTTGTGTGACTAATTCAAGTGGACGGGAAGCGCGACTTTGGTTTTTTTGCTCGGCCAACAAAACACCTTCAAGTGTTAACAAGCTTGGATGACATCTGCACGGATACGAACAGAACTCTATCCCTCTACACATAAAACATATCGAAGGGAATGGCTGCCATATGAGGTCATTTCATGGAAGCGAGATAGAACCGGGGGGAATATCCGCCGAGGACAGTGAGGGGGCTGTTGCAGACCACAAAAGAAGGCATTGTGGCCCTGCGAATGACGCCATTTTTGAAGAGAGATAGAAAAGGAATCATGACCAAGATGAATCGGAATTGGAAGTGGAAGTCCGAGGATCCACTCGTAATTTTATGATGCCTAAATAATCACTTGGGTAACTCATGATATATTATTTGTGAGAGAGGGATTTTTCATTATTCACTGATTGTATATCGTTGTATGTTAGCGGTACAACTCTGTCCGTTTGTTGACATCTGATTTGTTGTTTTTGGGTGGGGTGGGTGGAGGCAATTTTCCCGCACAGACAAGTGATTTATTACGCGCGGCAATGACGTGACGTCATATTTAGTAGACATCTCCAGAAAATGAAATGAGGAACGTCGCCTCCCAAATAATTTATACCTCCTCACACCTTGCTACTCTGTCGATATGGGATGATAAAAAAAAAAAAAATGAGCCCGTACACGTGGGACAATATTTACTTCCATAAACACTGTGCCACTAGACCTCATTTTTTGATGGGGCGGGGC